TCCCTACATCAGAGCAGTTTTATTGTTGGCAATGTGGGATTTATTTGTAGGTAAAACAAAGAAAATTTCTTTCCTTGGTGAATAATTATTAAAGAACAAAGTAATCTGCATAGAAGCCAGAGGGAAGATTTCTTCTCTCAAATATGGATCATTTCACGATTTGGCTTACAGCACAGTTCTGCAAGCCTATATCAGCAAAGACATGGGACAATCAACTGAGGAGGGAGGGGGGGTGTCAACCAGTGAGTGTGTGGGTGGGAACTTCTTAAAATCAAACTGCTCTTGACGGAAAAATATCCTGTACTCATCCCATAGCTGGGTATGATATATAGCTGAAAAGCTAGAAAGTGCAAATCAAAATGAGGAGGATTGTAAACATTTTTTTTTTAAATCATAGTTGATCAGATAGATGGTTTTAATCATTAGGTTTCAGCTTGACACGATAGCAGAGAGAACAGACCTCATATCTGAAGTGCAAGTATTTACCATTGAAAAGTCAATTCCTCTGTCACCAGCTCTGGCAATAGTACCACTATAATTATGAGTTTAATATCCGAAATTCGTTGATTTCATATTTGCATGCATGTATGCTAACTGAAATTAATTAATTTTAATTGCATACACCAATTACAACATCAAGCTCATTTTCCAACATATTATTCCTCACTGATTACATATCCTCTAAGATTGCTTTAATTTTTCATTTTGTGCTTTAAAGTCAAAGAATAATATGTATTTCTAATTAAGCTCACTTACATATCTCACTGCTGATTAAATCACTATTTAATATTTTATAACACAAGCCACCTTTAATTTCCCCCACTGAGAGCAAAAAGCTTGCAAACTCTTTTCTTTTTCCCTTCGGTTTCACCGACCTTGCCATTGCTGTGTTGCTACAGGCAGATTTCTTCCATCTTCACAGCAGAATGCCAATGAGCCACCTTGTTGACAGGAATGCATCCTTAGGGGAAGACAAGCGCCTTACTGACCAAAGGACCCTGGCTAAACATATCAGCAACCTGCCACCATACCTAGGAGAAAAGAAACAGACATTTAAGGAGAGATTTTTAGCAGCACCTTAAGGGACCGCAAGTCTCACTGAGAGTCTCTGGAGGTAACACATTTCAAAGCCCTAATGGGCTCCTGAAAGTCCCTTGTTGGTGCCTACCAAAGCTGGGCTGAATGCTGAGAAAGGGAAAGAAAAAGGGTTATCTTCTCCCTCTCCCAGCCAGCACAGTGGTCAGTCAGTCCTGAGCCAGGGCTGCATTATTATTTCCAAAGTCTTAATGTAAGTTAACAGAAAATCTTGAGAAGTCCCAAACCTGCCTCTAGCTGCCCATGCATATTGTACAACCTGGGCAGAACAAACTAAATAGTCTAATTTCCACCACATGATTTCTGGAAAAGTAGAAAGGAAGAAAGGTAAACCAGATTAAATCTTACCAACTCTAAATTCTTAATAAACAAAAGAAGCCTAAGAAACAAAGTCCCTGGTACCTCAGAACTTGACCCAAATTTCACTAAAATCAATGGGAAACTTCCGATCACTTCCTTAAAAGCATGATTAATCCCATACGTGATGGATATGTACATTAACTGCCAGTGGGATAGTTTTAGGAAGACCGCTGATTTGGGCTCCAAATGAAGCCCAAACATTCCCAATATCTGTGTTTGGATGCAGAATACTTCTTTGACCAGATATTAAGAAAGGGTCATCTTTATCTGAGTTACTTGTTAAAATATTCCTCTGCAGCAGGCAACTCTCAATTAGCATCCAATTAATTGGCTAAAGACCCATTGACTCACATTCATCACACCTAACTGCCAGTGCTTCAGCAAAGTGCTGGAGCTTTCCCATAGCCAACAGAAGAAGACAGGAGTTCAGAGCATGGTTAAGCTCTGAACTGTCCTCTCCATTGACTATTGCACTTTTAACTTATACTCATGTTCATCTAACATTAGGTATTTCAGTTAAGTGTACCACTGTGATTATTTCAGGTTAGAGAAGAAAAATAATTAAATTGGAAAGAGCCACTACAACTATAACGTTTCAAAACCACTGAGTCAACTGGGAAAAAAAAAAGACTTTGCATATTAAGCTTGAGACTGAAAGGTGGAGTTGAATAAAGAAAGTATATATCAGCATGCATATTTGATGATACTAAAACAGGAAGACACATTCAAAGGAAAAATATACTGATGGAACCATTAAAACAAAGATATTTGGGGGAACACAGTAGACACAAGGAAGAAAAATTAGAATAAAAATTAGAATAAAAGACAGAGGAAAAACTTAGAGAACACAGATAATAAAAAAAAATATATTTTTAAAAATGTCACTACCTCCCACCACTGAAAAATAAAGAAATCATTTATATTCGCTTTTCTTCTCAAAACTGGATGATTATTCAGGCTATGTTAGATACTTAGGAAAATACTGTTGCTCTGACCAATAGCTTAGCATAATCACAGAATCACAGAATGGTTTAGGTTGGAAGGGACCTCTGGAGATCATCTAGTCCAACCTCCCTGCTCAAGCAGGGTCACCTAGAGCATGTTTCCCAGGATCACATCCAGACGGGTTTTGAATATCTCCAGCAAAGGAGACTCCACTACCTCTCTGGGCAACCTGTTCCAATGCTCTGTCATCCTCACAGTGAAGAAGTTTTTTCTCAGGTTCAGATGGACCTTCCTGAGTTTCAGTTTCTGCCCGTTGCCTCTTGTCCTGTTGCTGGGCACCACGGAGAAGAGACTGGCCTCATCCTCTTGACACTCCCCCTTCAGATACTTGTACACGTTGATGAGATCCCCTCTCAATC